GAGGACCAGCGCCATTGTTCTCATTGTCACGGTTCCCACACCATCCAGGGAGTGCTGGGAGGTAGGGGATGGCGGCTGTCTTCTTGCCAGCCTGCTGGGCTGCTCTTTGCTTTAGGGAGGAAAGGCGCAGTCTGGGGAGGGGGAAGCACCCCCCCTGGATGGTGGGTCTTTGCTCTTTTGCTGCTGGGTCAGAGAGAGTACTGACTTGTTAGCATTCATAAGGGCCGGGCACTTTCTGCCTCAGTGGGCACTTGTTCTGTTCTCGTCATTAAAAAGCATGTGCAAAAACCTTTTTTTTTTAATCTTCATGTTGAAAGTATTACATATGTCCCCTTTTTCCCCATCTGGCCATTTTTTTGAGAATGATGGGAGGAAGAGGGATCCCCCAGCAGGTCAGCCTGCAGGAGCTCCTGAAGCAGGTGCACATGCTCTGCCTCCCTGTTCCCCGGGAGGTTTTCAGTGAAGTGGGTGATTCTGTGCTCGCGAGGTTAAGAAGCACTGCCATAGCCCTATGGCTCAGTGGATAGAACGTCAGCCTGCGGACCGAAGAGTCCCGGGCTCAATTCCAGCCAAGGGCACATGCCCAGGTTGCGGGCTTGATCCCTAGTGTGGGATGTGCAGGAGGCAGCCGATCAGTGATTCTCTTTCATCATTGATGTTTCTATCTCTCTCTCCCTCTCCCTTTCTCTCTGAAATCAATTAAAATACAGTAGGTGCCTGGGGTTATATTGGAGATCCGTTCCTACGGCGACCTAGCATGATTTTCGCCGTAAGTCGGAACCCACCTACAGAAGCACCTACGTCACTCACATGGAGCAGAGACACAGCAGTAATGAAGTGAAACAGTAAAAAAAATTTAAAAGAAAGATAACAATTCCTGACCTTTACTTGTGGTAAATAAATAATAAAAAACATAAAGCACATATGTACATACGTTGAAATGATGGAACTTTTTTTAAAAATATATTTTATTGATTTTTTACAGAGAGAAAGGGAGAGGGATAGAGAGTTAGAAACATCGATGAGAGAGAAACATTCATCAGCCGCCTCCTGCACACTCCCTACTGGGGATGTGCCCGCAACCAACGTGCATGCCCTTGACCAGAATTGAACCTGGGACCCTAGAGTCCGCAAGCGGATGCTCTATCCGCTGAGCCAAACCGGTTAGGGCGAAACTTTTTTATAAATAAATGGGAGATGGCGACGTAACCTGAGGACTGCCTGTATATTAAAAAAAAAAGAAAGAAAAAAGCAGCAGCAGCAGCAGCACTGCCATAAAGAGGAGACGCTGCTGAGGCGTGCCAGCCGGCCTCACACCCTGCGTGATGCTGGTGCCGGCCCTGGAATGTAGGTCTCCTGGCTCCTGCCCGAGGCATTTTCTTCTCGCCATGCTCATTCTTTTACCATATTTGCTGTTCCTCGTGGTGGGTCAGAAATAGCCAGCCCAGACTTGTGAGCCTTTCCCTCCCCGGGGCCCAGCCCGCTGTGGCCAGCGAACGGCCAGCTGTCAGCGTTCTGAACTCCCGGGTAGGCCTTTCTGGAAGAAGCTGGGAGGTTTGGGGACCCAGGCTGCGTCCTGCTGTGTCAGTGCTCAGTTCAGCTGGTGAAGTGTCCCTCCTGGAGCGGGCGCCCCGGCACGTCCCGGGCACACGTCCGGGGAGCACTGCGTCCGGGGAGCCCCGGGCCTGCTGGCAGTCCCAGGTTGCCATGGTTCCAGCTTGGATTTGTGCCTGAGGGGGCAGCCACCGGAACACAGTAAACGCCACATTTGGTGTTTGATCCATCCGGTTAATCCTAATGTAATCCTGACCCTGTGGCCTCAGCCACTCCCCAGGTGGTCGCTCTGTGCTGCCCCAGCAGCCCCAGTGCAGGCCTTTGTGTTCTGGTTTCACAGATGAGGAAACAGGCTCAGAGAGGTTAGGAGGCTTCCCTGAGGTGACACAGCCAGGAGGCGCAGGTCCTGCCCTGTTACCCACTCCTGCTTCTTGCTGCCATGAGTTAGCCTCCTCCCTCCCTTCACTGCCTCAACTGTGACTACAACACCCATGTGGCCCCCGGGAGCCTCATCCCAAGGCCCACAGTCTTGTAGACAGAAGTCTTGCACCTGACTGTCACACTGGTGCGTTTGGGAGCTCTGCTTGTTGTGGCTGCGTTTCTTAGACAACACTGGTTGTTCCCAAGGCCCATTTGTCAGTCCCAGCGCGTGTCCTGGATGGCGTGACATCCGTGCCCGTGCTGATGACTCCTCTGGGTGCAGAGTGGTTCATGCCAGTCTCACGGTCAGCGTGCAGGTGACGTGGTGATACATGTGACACCAGGGAGATGTTAGGACAGCGCCTTCCGCTCCCTCCCTCGCTGCCCACGTTGTTGGAACCCCTCTGCTTTCTCTCCCCACCCTTGCTTTCTTTCCCTGTGACGGAGTGGGCCATCAGACTTCACCTGAAGAATTCTCTCTGGTCCTCAGCCTCATCGCTTTGTCCTTCCATCTCCCCAGCCAGCCAGCAGGCGGGATCAGCCTGGCTCACTGCCTGCCCACTGCTGTGCACTGAGAAATCCCTCACCACCTTTTATTTTATTTATTTATTTATTTATTTTTTTAATTTTATTGATTTTTTACAGAGAGGAAGGGAGAGGGATAGAGAGTTAGAAACATCAATGAGAGAGAAACATTGATCAGCTGCCTCCTGCACACCTCCCACTGGGAATGTGCCCGCAACCAAGGTACATGCCCTTGACTGGAATCGAACCTGGGACCTTTCAGTCCGCAGGCCAACGCTCTATCCACTGAGCCAAACCGGTCAGGGCCCTCACCACCTTTTAGAGGGGCCTCCACAAAGCCAAGGGTTTTGACCTCAGTTGGGCTCCTTTTTGGTTCTGTCCATCCTTTCTCCAGAGAGATTGTTCTAAAATGTAGGTGTGATCAAGGCACTGTCCTGCTTCAGACCCTTCAGAGGCTCTGTGGGGCCCTTGGCCAACAAGGGGGCCAGCTGATTCGGCTTCCGGCCTCCTCTCAGCCCAGCCCTGCTTCTTGGCCTCTCCCGGCTTCTGCCCTCATCCCCGTCCCGTGGGTGATGCTGGCTCTTCCTGAGCATTCTCTCCACTTGGTCTCAGCACTCTTGTTCCCCACTGAGCCCTGCTCAGGCCTCTGCTTAGACACGACCTCCTCTGGGACCCTCCCTTTCACCCTGTGCCCCTGGTCCGGCGCGTTCCCCACGTGTGGCTATGGCAGCCGTGCATGTTCCTCTCACGGCACCTTGAAATCTGGGAGTGAAAGCTCTGGTCCTAGTGGGGGCAGCTCGCTCCCCCTCCCTTCCCCTCTCCTCGGGCTGATGGGTCTTGGTGAGCCTTCAAGGGCAGGAGTTTCATTTGTCAGGATTCATTTCAACAAGCAAAATTCCCAGGAGACTTTTAAAGCACTTTTGTTATTTAGATGGTCTACTTGTGCTGTTCTTTCTCAGTTCTTCACGAAAAGGAGGATTGAGTGTCCGTGTTCAAGAACTGTTTTTGCTTGTTGGGGAGGGCTGTTCCCAGAGGCTGGCTGGGTGTGTGGGTGAGCGGCTGTTTCATTGACCACTGCGGGGGGCGGGGGGGGGGAGGAGGAGACACAGAAACAAAAGGAACACTCGAGCCTACAAATGAGTGAAGCTTTAAACCTGTGGGAGTTTAGTTACTCCACACTTCCCTGTGTAATACCTGCCCTCTGCGACTCCTCTCCCTTCCCCAGGCGAGGACGAGCACCTGTTCATGGCACACGCTCCCAGTACTCTGTGCGCTTGGTATTAAGTGAGTGTGTACCTCGGGGTGTGGCGGCTCTTTCCTGAGGAAGGGCAGCCACCCCTGGGCCAAAGCCCACGCTGCCATGATCGCTGTTGCATCCCGGGCCTGGCCCAGAGTCAGAGCGAATGAAATATGGCTGAGAACCAGAGAGATTTAATTTAAAAGATCACAAGGCAGCCAGAGAAGTCACTAGTTAAGAGCCTGTGCTGATCTGCGTGCTTTCCTGGAGCTTCTTCAAATGTGCTGCGCGCGGCCTTTGCAGGCTCGAGGTGGGTGTGATAGCCTCCCATTCGGGGAGTTAGGGTTTCCCGGAACGAGTTTCTGCTCTTTCATCGGTGCATGTGGTTTCTCAGAAGAGATTCATACAGACACTGGTAGCTGATAATCACCTTGAAGATTATTTAGGATTCGGGGAATTTCTTTTGGAAGCCTAAGCTTGATTGTCACCCACTAATCATGTGGCCGAGTGGGGAGGAAGAGGAAATGTGAACCTCCACTGTACACAGGCCCATCTTAATGGAACCAGTAATTGAGTGCTATTAAGCAAAATTAATTTGCCTCTTGTAGGAAGGTTTATGATGAATGAAAGGATTGCTCATTGGAGAGGGAGCCAGGCTACCCTCTGTGGTCATTAATATTTCATGGCCATAGGCAGTGGCAGGAAGTTAGCTATCCTGGCTCCCTGACCTTGAGCATGAAGGTAGGACACAGCCAGGGAGGTTGTATTTAAAGGGCTTGTTACAAGGCACTTACTGAAAATCTAAGTGAAATTTAAATTTGCAAGATGCACCCCTGTTAATTGAATTTACACCCTGAACTAGTGGGAGGTTCCCCCAGATTGCTCAGGGACCCAGCTGAGACTGTTCCTAGTGGGGGCAGCTCTGTCAGCCACATTGGCAGAGCTGAAATGTTTAATGATGGCTTGGCGGAGGGAGGGGTCCTGATTTGTAGTGACTGCTGGTTTCTGTGGGTCAGTACACTGGCATGGCCGGTTTGAAGCTGCTGAATCCAGGACTGGGGCAATGTGCGGGTGTGCCCGTGCACTGGAGCTGCGGCCCCGCCTGCTGTCCCCACAATCCCTGACTCCTGGTGACTGGGGGAGTCTGGCCCAGCGGTGGCATTTCCAGAAATACAGATGTGCCCGGGCATTGCTCCTGTGTTAGACTCGGCCCCTTGACTGAGAAAGGTTAACGAGCCTCTGTTTTGTTCTTTCTTCTCCCTAGCTGCTATTAACTTAGCAAAGCTGAAACTTTTCAGACATTATTACGTCTTGGTGAGTAAAACCCCTCAGTCTGTACATAACGGGTAGAGCAAATGGGCTCCTCAGGAGGGTGGGTGCACGAGGCGGGTGCTGCCTGGGGCCGTGGCTTCACTCCAGGTTGTGTCCTTGGGTCTGGGAATTAAGTGTCTGCTTGCTTCTTTCTAAAGTTGAGTTTTAAATCTGGCTTTACGCACTCAGAAAAGCAGTCCCTGCTTGATGTGTTCACAGTGCAGGATGATAGAGACACAGCGCTGCCCTCTCCGACCCGAACCTCCTCCCCTCGGTGGTCGCTGCTGGCAGCTGAGGCCTCTTTCTCTAGGCTCTCTCCTCGGATTGGATGCTCCTTCGATGGGACTTTTTATTCATTTACAAAAATGGGGTCACACCTACACAGAACTGAGGCAAACACCGAGGGCTCATACAAGCACTAGCACCAAAGGGGGACTTACTCTGGACTATTAGAAACATAATTTCTTGGAATATTTAAGGCGTGGGTCTTCTAGAGTTTGCTTCCTGACTCCTAACAAAGTTTCTGAGTCGTCTTCCCTTTGGACATGTTTTTCCTGGTCCCGGGGAGCAGGCCACACTCGAGTGGCCCGTGAGTCGCACTCTCAACGGCCCCTCCCCTGCTAGAGGACTTAGGACTGTTGGCACTTGTGCTGTGTGGCCCCTGGCGTCCCAGCCTCCGCTGCAGAGGCTGAAAGTCAGCACTTCCTGTGGCTTTATTTTGCTGTTGCTGCTGGAAAACCCCCATCCAGGGAGGGAAAACATGACCCCCTGGTATTGGAATCAGCAGCCATCCTAAAATGTTCGCCCTCCCGGAGGGGTGGCAGTTTCCAGAACTGTGGGCACCCAGAGAGCGAGAAGTGCTGCCTTCTCAGTGTGACCAGCAGGGTCATTCTGTGTCTGTTTTGTAGTTAATTTGAAAGCAAATTGTCAGAAGAAAGTGGTGCCAAGTTTCTGTGTTGATGTTCTTGTTTCTTTCCTCTTCCTTAGATCGTATGTTACATATACTTCACCAGGATCATTGCATTTTTCCTCAAATTCGCTGTTCCGTTCCAGTGGAAGTGGCTCTATCAGGTATGCTGGTCCTGGAGACAGCCTGAGGCTGCAACCTAAAGTCACAGTGCACCCGGCAGCGCCCGGTGAGGCCTGGTTCTCTTCCGGGCTGCGATTCCAGCTCCTGGCCAGGAGAGCTGCTGGGTTGCAGGAGAAATCTGGAGGTCGTTGCATTATTGATGTTAGCGTTAATGCAAAGAGTCTTTGAAGAAAACAGCCTCAGGCAGAGAGAGTCAGGTTTACTCTGTGCAATTAAAGCCCAGATGAGACGGTCTCCGTCAGTTACAGGACTTAGAGTAGCTTAGAATGCAGACCTTACTCTCCTTTGCCCATTGTTAGAATTTCAATAGTGATGTATCTTTGCAGTGACTAGAACTGGCTTCACTACTAGGGCAGGCCATCGAATGGTCTGGAGACTGTTCTCTTAAGTACTCTTGATGCATTAGGCACTGTAGGAAGTGGGAGTATATAATGACTCTTAAAACAGAGCAGTGGACACTCCAGGTAAAGCCTGGAGTCTTAGGTGTCATCTCTGGGCAGAATGCCTGGCTGAGGCCTCAGCACAGCTTGGGAGGAAACTGCTCTCTAGCAGCCAGCTCGGCGTGTGAGGAGTGGCTATGGAGTGGCAGGTTGCCGGGCAGGGGTGGGGGTCAGCTTGTTTAGTCCCACTGCTTTCCGAAAAACAGTGGAGCTCACCCTTTGTTTGGGGTTTTTAATTTGCAGCTCATGGACGAAATGGCCACTCTGGTGTTCTTCGTTCTCACCGGGTACAAGTTCCGCCCAGCTTCAGATAACCCCTACCTACAGCTTTCTCAGGAAGACGATGACCTGGAAATGGAATCTGTGTAAGAAATCTCCTCCCTCCCTCCCTCCCTCCCTCCCTCCCTCCCTCCCTCCCTCCCTCCCTCCCTCCCTCCCTCGCCCCTTTGCCTAACACACAGCAGCAGGGTGTGAATTGGAGCAGCTGCTGCACATGTGGTTGCTCCAGAGGTGGGCCCTCTATTTTTAGCAGGAGGAAATGGACACTGCGCTCGGTAACTGGGTGGCATGAACTTGGGGACATGCTGGGCCTGTTCCAAACTACTGAGCACGGGCAAGCCCTCTTCCTGCTGGCCCCTGCCGTTGGGAGCCTGTGTCTGAAAAGGTGGTCATCCGAATCTCATAAGTCTGCTAGTGAAGGTCAGACGTCCTTTATCCTCGGATAGCAAGTGGCTCTTTGCAGCAGCACCACCACTGACCTAGATCTGCGTTAACCGGCTTCTGAGTCTCAGGGTGGGGGCCTCCGGGGTGCTGTTTCTGGGAAAGGCAGTCACTTTGGAGAAGTGAACAGTGATGAGGAATATTGTGCTGTGACCTGTGAGGGGCCAGGCGCGCTGTGTTTGAGGATTGGCCTGAGGGTGTTTCCGGTGCACTGCCTCCAGCCAGGGTGGCCTTTGATTTTTCCCAGTTCGAAGGCTGAGCCTTGGCCCACTGGGCCCTGCCAGGCTGCCAGGCTGCCAGCTGGGAGAGCTCCTGGTGCTCAGCTCCACTGTGAGAACAAGGAGCGAAGGCAGATCCTGCTGTTGGGCTCCAAACAGCCCCTCCCTGTGCAGAGGAAGAAATGCCTGTTGGTGGAGGGAAGGCAGGAGAAGCATCACATGTGCCTCTTCTGGAAGTTGCAGGTCTGAGCAAGTGACTGGTTGAAGAGGCACAAGTGAGAGCCAGTCTGGTGAGGAGCAGCAGCAGGAAGTAACCTGAGGTCTGGGGGATTTGTCCATCCCTGCTGGGGACCCTGGCTGGTTCTCTGGAGTGGGCAGCTAGGAGCCGAATGGCTGGCTCCTGACATCTTCCGCTTGACTGGGCTGTGGTCTGAAATGGCTGTCCCAGTTGGTGTTCTCGCCAGCCATGTGGAGTTCCTGTCCCCACATCCCGTCCGCCAGCTGCTGGTCTGGAAGTGTGGACGCGTTGGGAAGGTCTGTCTCGTGGCAGAGTTCTGTTTTGGTTCTGGTTTCTCGCTGACAATATTTGCTGACGGTAGTCTTTTCGCAAGAGGGTCTGCGGCTGTAGTCGGGAGGAAAGGAGAGGGCGTGGGCAGACAGAGCGCTGTCTATGGGGACTAGAGAGCCTGTTCTTTTTTCTGGTAAGACTTGGGAAGGCTGGGTTGACCTCGGGCTGCCTCTGTTTACATCCGTCACAGGGCGACAGTACTCTGGTCACACTGTGTCAGTGCCTTAGTGGAGCCGTCCTGTGCCAGTGAATGGGTTCTCCCTGTGTAGCAGCGGAGAGGGGGCAAACCCAGCCAAGGGTTTGTTTAGGGTGGTGCACTCCCTGGGAGCGCAAGCCCAGTTTAGCCAGAAAAGATGTTTAGGAGCGGATTGAGGTCAAGTACCTTTAAATCCGCAAGGAAATTGTTCTGGGCTTTCTCTTGGCTAAGACTCTGCTGCTGAGAGTTCTAGGAATTTATAAGACGTGACAGCAGAGCAGGCTGGGCCGGACGCTCTGGCGCAGCTGCCTATCGTTCCCCTGCAGGTGCGCAAAGGCTAATCGCAGCCGCTCAGGGCAGCCACCCGGGCTGTCGTCTCCCTCCGCCACTTGCAGTGGGAGTGCTCAGTACCCCTAAGTCCTCCATAGACACCAGCCAGAGGCAGCGAGCCTGCGCCTGGTTTCCCAGCAGGTCAGGAGCTCCCTGCCATCCACATGGGAGGGGCTTCCCAAAGAAGGGAGCTGGTCTGATCCTTGTCACGGAACAGCACCTCTAGGAGGTAGTATCCTCAGGCCCCCCCCCCCCCCCAACAGATCCACACTGTTCCTGGTGGGTCTGACGCTGCAGCACGGGAGCAGCCACCGGGAGATTCTGGGGAGTTCCTCCCGCCCCTGCCCTCACCTCCTTCATCTGAGGCCCAGCTGAGGGGCCGAGTGCATCTGGGGAGTGAGTCTCTCCCAGGGGGTGGGGCTGGGAGCTTCACCCCTTTTCCTCCCTCCGAGCCTGCAAGATGAGGGCGCACCAGAGGTAACACTGACTTTGTCTTTTTCCTCTTTCTTTCAACATCTCTTTGGACCAATTTTGGTAACAAAATTTATCATAAAAAATTCAACATGTTAAATATTGGCTGCGATTTCAGCACTCAGCAGCTGCCCGTGTGCTGTGCGTGTCCTGCGTGCTCTGAATTATGTCTGTCAGCCTGAGAAGTGGGAAACGTGTGTGTGGGTTCCAGGACTGCTTCCTGTGAGCACCCGAGGGGGTCGGCACCCACCGTGGGCACAGGACTATGGGAGACGACGGGATTGTCTCTCAGCCAGGCCCCTCCACCTTCCAGTCCAGAAAGCAATTGCTAGTTTGCTTATAGTTTCTGGTTCAGTTTGGTTAAAGAAATAGTTGTGTCCATGGGCCACTTTCTCACGCCACATGTGACTGTGACCTGGGTGGCAGTGGGAGCAGTGGGTGTCTAAAGCAACATTCTCATCTTGCCTGTGTGCATTAGGCCCTGTGCTCTCTCCGCCTCTGTCGGAGCTCCCTGCTCCTTGTCTCGGGCACCTCTGCTCCACTCTCCTGCCAGTCCTCCACAGACTCCGGTACTGATCCCACAGGGAGCATCAGCCTTAGGGGCCTTAGCACTGGCCCCTGGCCTCAGCCCAGCTCCCCAGCTGCTGGCCACCTGCCTCAGAGAGGCGCTTCCCTGAGCAGGCACTGGAAGCAGGACAGCTCCTGCTGGAATGGGCACTGGGCTGGGCAGCCAGAGAGGCCAGCCTGGCCGTGTGCCCTATGGGCAGCTGTGAAGCACCAGCCGGAACAGAAGCCCGGCCTTCCGGGAGCCCAGTCTCCTGCGAGGACAGTGGGACAGGGTGTAGACAGTCCTGAGGTCCAGGCGTGCACTGGAGCCACAGAAGGGCACGTCACCAGCCAGGACACGAAGGTGCTAGATGGGCAGAGGAGGCCTCGCCTCTGGAGACCTCCCTGTGAAGTGAGGGGCGGTGACTGCGATCTGCGCATCTCCAGAGGCTGTGCCTGTACCCTGAGTGGGAGTTTAGGTGTAAATCCCGCTGCTCATCGCCCCCCATGCTTGTAGAGGCCTTTCTTCTGAGAGCCGTTTCCGTGCAGAGGGCTGGGCCGATGGGGGCTCTTCAGCTCTTGTCCCCCCTTCAGTGCTGGCATCAACATGAGGCCGTGCTGGAGGTGCCTTCACAGCTGTGGTCCCTGCCTGGGCGGCCGCAGGGTGTCGGTCTGACCTCCTGCCTCCGTTTCTGCTGAGTGGCTGAGCTGCCCGGGGACGACTCGCACTCTTCAGCAGCAGCGGCCGGGCTGGCCTTCCCGGAGGTCTGCTGTGCCCACGGGCATCACTGCCGTCCATCTGATCTGCTCCAGGTCACTTGAGCAGCTCCACGGGCTCCAGGTCACACAGTCAACCCCACAGCACCTGCTCTGCCTGTGACTCCTCAACTTGCTGGCGCCCTCCCCTGGACAGACTCTAGGGGTGCCACATGGAGGGTAGTTGGTGGGGGGATGGCAGGGTCCTTGGAGAGTCTGTTGAGTTGATTGATTGCATTTATTTTATTGGTCAGGAGGTTCCTGTGGGTCCGGACGGGGACGGAGGAGGCTTAGGAGATGCTGGGCCGGGCATGTTTGTTCTAACAGGCTGTTTTTTAGAGCAGTTTTAGGTTCACAGCGACATTGAACAGGAGATACAGCCATTTGCTATAAGCGTCCTGGCCTGGCCTGGCCTCACGCATGCACAGCCTCCGCATTAGCACCAGCTCCTCCAGAGCGGCGCATGTGTTCCCGTCGATGAACCTGATTGACAGTCCTTGTCACCCGGAGTCCATAGTTTACCTTAGGGACCGTGCTGGTGGTGTGCATTCTGTGGGTTTGCACACATGTGTGATGACGTGTATCTGCCACGATAGTGTCATACAGACAGTGTCACTGCCCTACAACCAGTCCTGCCGGGAGGAGCTCAGTACGTTTGCTCGATGCCTCCTGCTGTGGGGCCACCATGTCCCTCGCAGATACACAAGCGTAGAACCTGCCCAGCTCACATCTTGCCTTCCCACGGACCCACCACACGAGAGGCTGCGCTCCACTCCCGGGGAAGGGCTAGCGTGCCTCCATTTTTTGTTGTTAATCCTCATCTGAGGATATTTTCCCATTGATTTTTAGGGAGTGGAAGACAGAGGGAAAGACAGAAATATCGATGTGAGAGAGACACATTGATTGGTTGCCTCGTGTACCAGGGCCCGGGCAGGGGAGGAGCCTGCAACCAAGGTACGTACCCTTGACCGAAATCGGACCTGGGACCCTTTGGTCTGCAGGCTGGTGCTCTATCCACTGAGCCAAACCGGCGAGGGTCGTGCTTCCAGTTTTGATCCATGGATTCAGTGAAGGACTCCACGGCCCCTCCTGAGTGTCAGGGACCAACAGAGAATAGACCCTGCCCGGGGAGGGATGGGGAGGCGGAGACCGTGCTCATTGACGACACGGCCTGCAGGGACCAGGGCCTGGGTCTGCAGAAAGCTCTAGTGTCGGGCTGGGCCCGGAAGGGCCGCTGCACCCGTGCTTCTGTCCCGTGACTCAGGATGCTCCCGTGTGGCTGGTGACTGAGTGTCCGCCTCGGGCCAGCTTTCTTTTCAGATGTTCACTGTAACGGGGCAGTCTCGTGGCTGTTAGAGGACGTGCATGCCACGTGGAAATCCGTGGAGCCATGACAGGCTGGCGCTGATTGTAGCGCTAACAGCCGCCGTGCGCTGATTGGGCGCTTTGGAGAGCTCATTGCCCTCACGGTAGCTCTGGGAAGCGGGAATTGCTCTTGTGCTGGAGCACGGAGAGCTCAGGTGCCTTGGCCAAGGTTCCATAGTGGCCAGAGCCGGTCGGAATTCAAGCCCCGCTCTGACTCCAGAGCCAGCCCTTCACCCCCGGGAGGTGCTGTGGCGAAGACGGCCCCGCTTCCCACTGACGCGCTCCTTGTTGTTTCCCTGTGCAGCGTGACGACGTCGGGGGTGATGGAGAACATGAAGAAGGTCAAGAAGGTGACCAACGGCTCGGTGGAGCCCCAGGGCAACTGGGAATGCGCCGCGTGATGGCGCACGCTCGAGCTGGCCCCGCAAAGAAGACACTTAATTTATTAATAGTCCTCTTGGTGAGCGAGAGCAGCTGGCACTTCCTGACAGTGACGCCACAGAGCGCGTGCTGGGAGCAGTGCCACGGAAGCCCTTTTTTTACTCTTTTATGGAAACTGATCTGTGGCTGGTCGTAGGCAGCTGGACTTCTCCTTCAGGTGGGCACGCTGCGGAGGGAGTGTAGCGAGGAGGAGAATAAAAGGAAGACTTGGTTTTGATTTATATATTTTTAATTGGGAGGGAGCTCTTAGGGTATATGCAGTGTGACCCCCAGTGTGTAGCACATCAGAATGGACGGTGGGTGGGGAGGAAGTCAACAGCACAGGCTTACAGGGGATGGAGAGGGTTGCTACAGCTTTTGGAGACAAAAACGAATGAAATTAGGTGATTCTAGAAAGCAGGGTCAAAACTGATTAGTATGCCGAGCCTGCCCCAGACTCCTGTCCCCAAAGGTGGCTCAGGCCTTTCTCCCAGATCCTGAAAGGGTCCAGGAACCAGCAGCTCTGGGAGCTGTATCTGTCCAAGGGGCTCTGCGTGGGGCTGGGTGTCACAGCCCGGGGCGGGGGGCGGGGGGAGGGGGAATGGTGATGGAAGGGTGTTCTGTGTTGCCTAAAGGATGGACAGAAATATATTTTTAGCTCAAAAGCATTCTGTAGGGTTTTCTTGAACATCCAGAAAAGTTCCCTCTCCTCGTGGTTCGTGTCCACCTGGTGTGATGGGAGTCTGGGGGAAGGGGGGGGACTTTCCTTCAGGAGCAGCTGGGGCAGGAAAGGAGGTGTGATCACCACCACCAAGCTTTCCCCGTAAGCCAGAGGGTTCTAGACAGAGCAGGTGGCCAGCTGCCCCGTCTTCGTCTGGAGTGTGTGGGCAAGTGTGACTGGCGGCTTAGGCTCAGGGCCGGGAGGCGTCTCACAGGAACGCGGGTTCCCTTGCGGACTCTCCGAGCGTGGGGACCCACACGGGCGCTGCCCCCAGGGAACAGCATTGCACCTAAGCGGTTGGAAGCCGGGCCGCTCCGAAGGCCCGTTGTGGCGGAGGGCTCCGTGATCATTCCCACGCAGGACGGCTTCCTCCTGCTCGGGTGCCAGGCGTGCGGGGCCTCCTGGCAGGTGGACAGGGACAGTCCCTGGTGGTGGTTTGCTTACCTCCGGCTTGGAGGGTCGGTCAGAAATCACAAGATTTAGGGGTGGCTCCATATCCCAGGTTTGGGAACCTGAAGTCTTTCCTCAAAAACAGTTGTTTTCCCTCTGCTGTGCCGTTTCCCCTTCCTGCTGGCCTGGGAGGAGGAAGCGTCCTCCTCATGCACTTTCAGTGGCCTCTGTGCTTGGCCTGGCCCTCGGGCTGGTCCTGCTCTGCAGTCCTCGGGGCGGGGCCCCACGTCTCCCCGTCTCCAGGACGGAAGTACAGCCTAAGTATTCATCTAAGGGTCAGTTCTCTTTCTCTTTTCACTTGGAGCTGTGTGACGGGGCCGGACGTTGTAGAGAAGATGGGAATATCTTTAAAGCTTTATTTTCCTGTCCCAATCCCAGCTGCAGAAGTGTCTCAACCCAGGCTCAGGGTGCTTCCCTGGGGGGTGCGGGGGCGGGGGGGAATTCGCTGCTTGTCCTGCAAGCAGATGTTCTTAACTCAGTCATAGATTTCTTGGCAAGAACCAAAGTGAGATGAAAACTCCCTCCTGAAAGGTCTCCATGGAGGAAGCGAGTGCGTGAGGAGCAGGGGAGGACGGGAACGTGTGCGGCCAGCCCGCACTGCTCCTGCCTCCTGCCCCCTCGCAGCTCCCATCCTCAGCAGCCACATTCGGGCCGACCCAGAGGGCTGGCTTCTGTGGGATGAGGCGTCCTTTAAAGCCCATGCCTACCTCCAGCAGCCTCTGGGCTCTCGCAGCACCTGCAGGGCCGCCTTCCCTTCCATGCTGGCCCTTCGGGGCAGGAGCACAGGGAGAGGGGGCAGGGGTTTGGAAACAGGCTGCCACGGCCTTCCCACCACACAGCACATCTGCCGTGTCCTGCATGTAACATGGAAGGTCTATAGTCAGGCCGACGATTAGGGAACATCCAAACCCAGCCCGTGACGGGGAAGGCAGGTGGTAGGTGAAGTTTCTCAGAATGACTTACGCTGTCTGTCCTGTTCCGTGAACATTTCTTCCCTTCCTCTGTCACTTCGCAGCTGGGACCAGCAGGCACGTGAGTCAGGGTGACTGGCTGGGGTCCGAAGCACAGTGGCTCTCCAGCCACAGCCTTCCTGCCGCCCGAGTTGAGGTCCCGGCTCCGTGAGCCACGGAGCTCGCACGGTTAAGCCTCCCAGAGTCTCGGCTGGGCAGGGAGGACGGGTGCCCATCACAGAGCCCTCGTGTTTATAGCTTCACTGCTCCCTCCCTGCCCTGCCCACACGAGTATCCAGGCTTCCTTTCAGATCAGAAACCTGCTGCGGACTGGGAACCCTGCTGCGGGGAAGGTTCAGGAAGTGCAGGCTCTGTTTGCCTTTAATAAAGTCCGTGTCTTTTGTAGAAAATTACTTCTTGGACCACAACAAAGGTCACTGGTCTCTCAATCCTGGCTCTTACCAGTGGCCAGAGATGCCATCAGCCTAGTTCTGGCCCCTCCAGACTTTAAAATGTTAGTAGCAACGCAGCGCCGCCGAGCGCGATGCCGGAGGCCGCTGCCCGTCCTGCCAGGGAAGCTGCTGGAGTGCAGGAGGTGCTTGCTCAGGTCACAGCCCGAGTCAGTCCAGCTTTCCCTCAAGAAACCACTCGAGTGAACTTGCCAGGCGCTTTCTCCCCTGGACGTGGCCAGCCAGCCAGGCAGCTCTTGGTCTCGTGAGTCCACTCCACGTGTCTGTCGTGGCAGGATTTCCTCCTCGGCACCGTCTCATCAGGATCTCTGCTCTCCTTCCACAGCCTGCCTCCCCTCCCCCTCTCCTTCTCCTCCACCCCCCACCCCCGCCCACATCTATTGATTCCACGGAGGCTCGGTCCTGGGAATACAGGCTGCAGGCTTTGGTGCATTGCAGCGTTTTCTCCCGGAAGCTCTGGAGGGATGAGTTGGCGAAGCTCAGGAGAGGTTTACCAGGAGGTCGCACTAGCTCGTGTATCATTGCTTTGGCCCGGATGTGGGGTTCTGCCTGCATTCCGGTGTCTGTCCCAGCACTTCCAGCCTACAGAGGAGCGACACGATGCCCGTTGTTATTACAAGTGGCATCTGGCCATTTCCCCATCCGAAGTGTTGTCTTCCAGGGGGCCGGGCCCATCAGACAGTCTGGTGAGGTTGGCCCTGCTCCATACCCCTGTGGGACAGCAGAGCCTCCATGCTGCCCGCTGCCAACTCCACCCCTTCCACTCCACGCTCCCCGTTGGGCCTCTGAACCAGTTCACAATGTGCAGGGTCCCGGGGGCCTGGGACCCACTGCTTTCCCCGTCGGGAGTCACTAAATCAATGGCTTCCCCACTAAAGAAGTTAGGCTCTGACTCGGTGCCTCTTGGTACATCACAAAGGCGTTCGTGGGAACACGCCAGCGGTTCTCAGATCTGCTCTGTGCTCCTGTTTCTCTAGGGTGTTTGGCAGGAAATCTTTAAAAGGGACCCACCTGTGCCCGGCCGGTGTGGGTCAGTGGTTGAGTGTAACCTATGAACCAGGAGGTCACAGTTCGATTCTCGGTCAGGGAATATGCCAGGTTGCGGGCTCGATCCACAGTGTGGGGTGTGCAGGAGGCAGTCAATCAATGATTCTCTCTCATTGATGTTTCTCTCTATCCCTCTCCCTTCCTGTGTGAAATCAGTAAAAATACATTTTGGAAGAAGGGATCCACCTGCATTGCCACCGCCTGGAATGTAATGATCTGAACACTCCAGACTCCCCAGGCCTTTGGGAAGGGGGTGTTCTGGACAAAGTCAGTAAATGTCCAAGCAGAATAGGAACACTGACCCACTCCCAAGAGTTAGCTGCTCGGAGGCAAGGTGCGAGGTTTCATGGTGGGATCGCAGCCCAGATGGGGCCTGAGGGCCAGCCCCCTCGCATTTAAGATACTTATTAACCAAAGGGGCCGGGGCCCTGTGCAGACAAGGGGCGTTTATAGATCATGAATTGGATTTCCTCGTCATTGACCACAAAAGAAGTCAGACACATCGAATCCAGAATCAAGTTACATCTGGGGGAGACAATGCCTGTACATATCATTTGCTTTCCTTGTTAGATTGGGGTGCAGAAGGCACTTTCAGTATTTTTTTAACAATGATCATTGAAGAGCATTTATGTAAACAGGATGGGTGGGGCTTCCGACCCGGGTGCTGTTGGGGATGGCTTCTCGCTGTGATGCAAACGTGTAAAATAAAAATCCTATGACGGAAATGTATGTTTGTGATCCAGGGAGTCACTGACTCCAGCTGCTGTCTCTCCACCTCCCTCTCGTAATTTTCTTCTTTGTAATTTTTGTTCATTAAATTAGTTAACTGCCTCCCACCCGCTCCCACTGACAATAGTGACACCTACTAGCGAAGTTCCGTGGATCTCAGGTGTGTGGCAGCTGCTGCTGAAACTCACGCTGACTCCCACCCCAGAGGCTGCGTTTTGGAGCAGACGGAGCATCCGTTGTGGTTTGCGGATGTCCTGCCTGCACCGGGGGGCAGGGAGTCCCTTCCGAATCAGGACCGGGCACGCTGCCAACTGAAGAGCCCACACTGGGACAGGCTGGCATGCACCCCGCCTGCCAGCACTCATCAGATAGCCCCGTAAGAGCCCATGTAGAGTCAGAAATCCAGCGTTAGAAGTCATCTGAGCCCAACCTCCTATTTTATTAGGAATGTTTTCAATCGAGGTCTAACTTACATACAGTAAGACTCCCCTTTCTAAATGTGCGGTGGAGTGGGTTTTGGCAAATGCATATACAGTCTGTAGCCTCCCCCGGTAATAGACCCGGGACGTGTTCATCACCCCGTCAAGCCCCTTGTGCCTGGGATCGTGCAGCTGGCGTGAGCCTGGCTTCTCGCAGCGCACTGCTGCTGTGTATCCCTCCGAAGCACTGCTGTAACGCTACAGACATTGTGATCTAGAGAGATTGGTGAGGCGCACACACACCCAGGTCAGCCAGCTGCTCAGTGTCAGAGCCAAGAAGAGAATCCTGGGCTCCTGACTCCGACCTTGCTGAGGATCGAGTAGGGCCTGGCCCGTGCCGGCACAGCCAGGGCTCTGTTGGTTACTGCTGCTGTATTTAATGTTGGGGTGCTCCTCAGCTCGCCCTAGCAGAGGCTCAGACTCGGCCTAGGATGCCCGTCAGTGGCATGCCTCACCGCTGCGCCTGCCCGGCAGGAGGCGTTGCATCACCAAGGTGTCTGGGAGGAGGCACGTGAGAGTGGGGAGCCCAGCAGTTAGGCCAGGCTGCAGCGTGAGGGATATTGAGGCGGCTCAGGAAGGGCCTGGGGACCATCTCACCCAGGGCTCCTCGAGCCTGAGCCGCCTCGTGCCCCAGAGCAGCCCGTCTGGGGGCAGGAGGTCCCCTGTGGGCCTGAGAAGTTGCGTTGCTCACCAGCTCCCAGGTGATGCCAGGATCGCACTTGGAGAACCACTGATGTGACCCCACTTCCTCCTCTGACTTGGCTCAGTCATTCAGCAAGACTCCGCCTGGCCCTTGGCCTGCCTGAGGGAGCTGCAAGGGGGTGGATTGTGTGAGGGACACCTCACCGTGGTCAGCATTGGCTTCCTCCTCCCCATGGCCAAGCGAGAGCTTTCCAGTGAGAGGTGCAGCATCCAGGCGACCACGTGAGCTTGTGGCCACGGAGCCGCCCAGGACCAGCTCGGCCTTAGGAAGGCCCAGCCTGTGAGTTTGACCACAGCACACTCGGCTGCAGGTTTCTTTAATGAAATGGCAGAGCAGGCAAGTCAGGAGCTGACACTGACCCAAATATGCCTGCTGAGAGCAGGGAGCCTCCAGGCCTACTACCGACCCTCGCCAAGCCCTCCCAGCGCCCACGGGGATCCTTCACCTCCTTCGCCGGGGCAGCTGCCTTTGGGTGCCCTGCTCTTGGCCGGCCAGGAACCTGTCAGGTCTGCAGATTGATGGCTGCACATTCCCTCTGGCTACGTGACAATGAGGCTGGGAAGAGGTGTGAGTGAGCAAAGTGCTGACTTCCACAGCCGCAGCCCTGCTGGCCTGGCAGCCCCGGCTGTCAATCCTGCCTTCCCTGCAGAGCCGTGTGGGGCATTTACAAGAATTCCTGGGAGCCCCTCAGCACTGCCCTCCCCCCCCAAGAGAAGCTGCCTCCGCAGTTTGGCGACTGGGTTTCTGGGGCGTCCTCACAGCTCGCCATGCCCCCACTGCAAGGGAATGCTGACCTTCATCCAAATGGGGAATCTGCTCATTAAAACATCTGCAGGGACTGAGCCCAGACTCCTCATCAAACCCACACTCCTGCATGTGCTCAGGGCGTCTCCGGGCCAGCCTGGCGCTGAGGCCGCAAGGGGTCCTCAGCACAGCACAGCACTGCACGCTGGGGTCCCCAGGGCACATCCATCAGTGCTGAGTCGGGCTCACACCCCTGGTGGGAGGACGATATCGGGGTGCACTGTGGGGAAAGGCGTTGGCCGTGGGGAAGAGTTGAGCATTGCCTCCACTTCCTCTCCTTCCCTCTCACCCTTTCCATTTTATTTGTTTTTTCACTCTTTCCATTTTAACGGCCCCTCCCCGTCAGCAATAAAGCATGTTCAAGTTTTTTCCGTTAAAAAACAAAAAACCTGGGATAGAAGAGATCAACCAATGAACTTGTATGCATATATGCATAACCCCTGGCCACAGACAATAGGGTGGTGAGGCCTTGGGGCGGGGGTGGGGGAGTGGGGAGGGGGCTGGAAGAGGTCAATGCAGGGGGAGGGGGGACTTACATAACACTTTCAATGATAAAGATTAAAAACAAAACAGCCTGACTGGTTTGGCTCAGTGGATAGAGCGTCGGCCTGCAGACTGAAAGGTCCCGGGTTCGATTCTGGTCAAGGGCATGTATGTACCTTGGTTGTGGGCACATCCCCAGTAGGGGGTGTGCAGGAGGCAGCTGATCAGTGTTTCTCTCATCGATGTCTCTAACTCTATCCCTCTCCCTTCCTCTCTGTAAAAAATCAATAAAATATATTAAAAAAAACACACAAAAACACCGAAGCTGACAGGCCTCACCTCTCCAGCGGCTCTGCTTCCCGGGACCCCCAGCGCCTGCGGTCTGGCTCCCGCTGGCCAGTCACCTGCCACCTCTCGGGCTCGGTCATTACCTGCTGTGTCTTCCACAGCCTGTGACACGGCGGGACTCTTCTCTCCAGATGCTCACCCTCGGCTCCCCAGACGTAGTGCTGCCCATTCCGCACCAGCCACATTGGCCTTCCACAGTTTTCCTTCCCCCATCCCATGCTGGCTTGCGGTCCCAGTCCACCCACTTCTCTTCCCACTGCCACTGTCAAGGCCGGCCACCCCGCTGGTGAACACCACCCTACTTTCTGTCTCTGTGCACCTGACCACTCCAGATGCCTCGTGTAAGTGGAATCTCACAGCATTTGTCTCTGTGACTGGCCTGTTTCACGCAGCCTGTGTTCAGCACCCCGTCTTTGAACTGGGCTTTTTCCTGTGGAGTTGTAGGAAGTGGGTCCCTTTCAGCAATAGGCGAACACCAAGTGGGAAGCCCGCGCTGCCGCCTGCAGCCACGGTGGAGAGCCTTCCTGAGAGCGGCCCCAACACCCAGGAAGCTGAGCCAGAAACAGAGAGAGGAAACCAGGATTCTCTCACAGCCTGTGCGCCTGGATCAAGCCTTGCCTGAAGGCAGCAGGTACTGCCAGACTCCTGGGTACATAGGTCAACAAGTTCCCGTTTTGCTCTGGCCAGTCTAGGTCAGGTTTCCTGCCACTATCGCGTGTGTCCACAGCTAAACCCTCAGACAGACGCACGAGGAGCAGGGGAGCCCGAGGAGCCTCCCCGGAGGGTCCCAGAGGCTCCTGGTAGGTAGCAGAGGAAGCAGGGCTGTCACAGGAGGGAGGGGATGATTTATACGCAGTGTCCTTCCTGAGAATCTGCTAACGAGAGTCATTCATCAAGTTCCCAGGCACGCGGCCAGGTGTGATCTCCCCAGCCTGTCGGGGTGCCCTGACCAGACCCAGCTCTGGGAACTCGAGAGGGGCCGAATCAGCCATGCCCCCATTGGCTCATTCTCCTCTGTTCCACAGATGAGGCCTCCAAGGCGAGGTCCCAGCCAGCTGACCTATCTGCCCACAGCCACACAGCATGGCCGGACCTGGGCCCAGGCGCAGTCACAGCCAAGTTCTCTCCACCCACGCCGTGGGCTTGACTGGAAGGAAGGACCTCCCCGCTGAGCCTGGGGTGATGCTGATGATTTTGAGAAAGAGGCCAGTTGCCCCGCCTAGAATGGCAGGGGGCTCCTGTGCCCTCCCCCCCTCCTGGTGGGCCTGACTGTGGTGCTGCCCAGGCCTCACGTCAGTAGGTGGCCTCTGGCTCTCCAGCCGTTTCACCTCCACGTAAGGAGTCTCCAGGCGCCCGTGAACGCTCCTAACAGCACATCCAGCTGAGTGACTCAGGCAGAATATTAACGAGGCTGCGCTTACTCCTCTGGCGGGGCCTGCTGGGAAACGCAGCAGAGCAGGGAGAATCCAGGGCCACTGGGGGCTTGGGGCCTCCCCCACGCAGTCTGCACTGGCTCCCGCCCTCAGAGACAGGTGGCCTGTAGGTCACCCCCAAGCCCCAGACCATTTAGAAGGAAAGCTACACCGCCCCTTCCCTCGAAGGGGCACCAGTGGCCGCTGGCCCTGCGGTCAGCCTGGGGTTGGCAGGTTTCCTTCAGGGGCCCCAGGAGCAGGCCACCCGGGTGGGCCGGAAAGTGAGAGAGGCCGACGTTCCACCGCCTACCTGGAAGCTGCTGCCCGCTGGCCGAGCACCTGCTGGGAGGGAGTGCGGAGGGTTGCCCCTGCCCTGCCCCCTGCCTACCTTTAACCGGCTGGGCGAGGCAGCCCAGCTCTGGGTGCGTTGCTGAGCGGAGGGGCAGAGGCCATTCCTTTACAAATGAAGCCCCCAGGAGAGGGGCTGGGGGACCAGGAAACTCCCCTCCCAACGTTCAGCGGTGCCTCCTGTACCTCATTCTGCCTCCCTGGCCCCTGCCCGGCCCTCCTGGGGCCCTGGGTTGGCGCAGAGCTGACGTGTGTGTGTGGGGCTGGGAGAGCTGGGCCAGGCCGGAGGCCAGCAGGGCTCCCTGGGCCGACCCTGGGGTCTCAGGGAAGTCCGCACCCTGGCCTCCCTGGAGAGAGGAGGGGCTGGTTCTGGCTCGGAAACCCACAGACACGTTGCTGATGAGCCGGGGTTAGGCCAG